AAATGCTCAAACAAGCCAATTAATATAAAGAAAATGCTTAGTCATGTATAACAGAAAAAATCGATACTCGTATCATTCGCAGAGACATGCAATCACACCAACTTCTCTTAGTTGAAAAGAGTAGTTCACAAAACTAAGATCAAAAACAAATTTGTATTTCAGAAAAAAATTAGCAATTTTAGTTACCAAAAATCGAAAAATCACTTTTGGGTGTTTTCTTAACCACCTTACGTTGTTGCCATATGCCCTCAAGACATTTTGGCTCTCCCCCTCAAAAAGTGCAAAATTTTCTCTATTTTGTATCAAAGCGGAAAATTTCATTAAAGCTGGATGAAGTAACAGAATTGCTAAAATTTTGGTGCAAGAATTATGCATCAATCTAAGAGCAAAATTTTGAAAAAGCTTACCATCAAACTCAAAAACGAGTCCAAGAGCTGATTTGTCCCGTGTTGCTTGCAGAATTTCGTCCATTATATGCAAAACCAGTTGCGAACAGTATGCATCAATAACAACAATTTCATTATTTGACGTAATATAATGTTTGAGATCAGTGTAGATCATAGCGAGTATAGATTCAGTAAGCTTCTCGCAGTATTTGTGAAGAGTGAATGAGCTTTGTAATGAGCTTTCATAGAGCTCGAATAAGGCAAGAATAATAACCCCTGTAGAAAGTACATCACTGAACGAAGAAATTTCTTTGTTCAAGGAAGTGACTTCGTTAGACCCTGAAAATTTAAGAAATGATAAAACTGCGCAAAAACCTAGCATTCCATACCGATGTTGAATTGAAGATTCATGTAGTCACCGTCATAGTCAAGCGTATCGAACCAATGTGACAAACGCTTTCCGAATGTCTCTATTCTGCTCCTCAATGTGCTTTGTGCCCAATCTAAACTCTCAATTTGAGCAAAATTCGAGTAATCAGTGTAATGATACCTGTTTCAGAATTGCTTATCCAACTGAAAGACGACCGTCCACGTGTGGATACCGCTTGTGGGTCCATGGATATCGTGAGGTCTAAAAACTGCGTCAGTGGTACAGAAAATTCTCCAAACTCCTATAGTAACCTACCCTCTGGAATTGAATCCATCTGGACGAGTTCGCCGCGCTCGAGACTGTCATCTTGTGGTAGTTCTGGTATTTCTTCGACGCTAAACTGCCTCTCTGATGATGACCCTCTCCGCGTTCTGCTATACCGCTGGAGACGTCGTCCATCAACCACTACTTTCGCTCCTCTGCGAGAAGCTTCTGCTCGTCGTAGGACCTGAAAATTTCATTAGAA